ATACGATCTCTCATATTTGCCATTGTAGTCGAAGGCTCAGCGTACACCTTATTTTTCAAATCAAACTATTCTCAAATGTTTATATTTCATAACGCCGTTGAATAAAGTCATAAACAAAGCCAGTATTAAATAAAAGGACAAGAGGACAAGATTAAAATATCTCTTGAAGTAATGATTTTTTAACATAAATAGGTTAATACTTTTTTGTCAAAAATATTAAGGTGAATTTACTGATGAACTAAAAAATATATGATTCGATTTAAAAAAAATGCTAATGACCTTCTTATGTTTTTTACACCATCAGAATGTGCCCCTTTCGAAACCATTCAACTTCATCTGAAACATTTTTCACTACGCGTAATAATAATGACGTCAATCTAAATGGCAATATGTGGTGACCTAACCTGTATAATACATAAAAAAAACTAAGATACTAACAATTTAATACATTACTAATAATCACGTTAAACCTGGAAGGTCATCATATGTGTATCATTCTACAGTTAACTACAATATAATCTTGATTATTGCGAAAGTCTCGTTTGTTACATAGTGGTCCCGGGGATGGTCGCTAAGCAACATGTAAGGTAATCTCAGTAGTTTCAAAAAATCAAATGTATTAATCTATTGTTTATGGTTTCATTGCAATTTACTCGACTGTTCAGACATAGTTATATTAAAAAATATGAGTACATACATCCAACTCGTACGTACATGTTCACATTTGACAAATATTTTTGTTTTTATAGTAAAAATATTTCTTTTTGATATGTTTTTATTGTACGTTGAAAAGTAAACAAGCTTTAAACATAATTTTTGTAGGATCATCCTTTAAAAGAATTAAGTATTAATAACCGAACATCTGGTATATACGAAATATCTGAACAGCGATTATTCGTAATAACACTGTTCAATAAGATTTAGGTATTAAAATAAAGTTATCGTTCCTTGAAATTCTTTTCTTGCTGGACTTAAGTTCGTGGTTAAAGTTATCATTTTTTATATGTAAAGAATGGGTTAAATTCAATTGGTTAAAGTCGACAATTTGTATATTGTTGGATTAGAAATAAGTTCTGATTGCGACGCGATATATTTATGTAGATGAAACTTGTGACTTGTACTTGATATGAAAAAAAGTAGAATTTCCGCACTCAAAAATGTAGTGAAATACAAGCTATTGTATAATGCAGCATACAAAACTCAAAGCTATTTTTCTATCCTGTATACCGGAGTAAGTATAACTAATTAAAAACCATGTCAAAACTACAAATGCAGATAAATCCAAAATTGCGATTATCTTGTGTGAATTTCCACTACAGAATTAAAAATCACTTCTAAAGATCTAGCACCGAGTGAATTGTAATGGTCGACTTCGGACTGCTTTTTAAATCGAATGACGATCATAGAACAAAGTGAAGTACACGAAGGTGTTATACATATGATTATAAGGAATTATAAATGTTAAAATTTATAAGTTGAATGGATGATATCATAGCAACTCTCAGAGTATACAGGATGAGTCATCGCGATATTCAAGTTCGTTATGACAGTTTAATGAACAAATATTGCAAATAAAATTAATTGATATCGAGTAACAAATGAATCGTTATTAAAAAAAACCGTTAAAAAACTGTTATTTTGTGCTTTCGAAACAGCTTTGTTTATTTTTCTTTGCATACTTTTAAATTACATAAAGTTACGGAATTATATATATAAAAATAAATAACATTAAAATTTAGACTTATCCCACTGATCGCTTACAAGAATGAAAATGTAATTACTAGATATTCTGTTAAAAATAATGGTTGAGGGAATGAATGGCTATTCGATAGTATGCGTTTACAGTTTCTTCGCACGTTTGTACTATTTTCCACTTTAATGATTGACGGTCGACGTCCATATACATATACATATACTCTATTAGCATATTCGTTAACAGAATATATACGAGGCATGATCATAGCTATATCTGAACCTGCTCTAAAATTCTTTCGATTCATACTGTCACTGTCTATAGTAGTAACAACTTCATAAAGATATCACAGTAAAACACATTTTAACTATTCTATTGGTTTATATGTCCCTAATGTTAGAACCAAACGTTCATCCTTTCCACTTTGGTTTTCACTGTCATTAATATCAGCTATCAAAAAGAAAAAACTTGCTCATCTCCGCTACAAAGGTTACAATCATTTTTCGGTTTATCTCACCTTCTATAAACAGAGCTCGGAGTGTAAAAACCTATTGTGCAAATGCTGGATGGACTTCGTTGGTGATATTGAAAATAACATTATCTTAAATCCGAAATTATTTTAGAAATTTACTCGTTCCATGAGAAAGTCAAATGACAGACCACCTAGTATGTATTATGACGACATCGTATTAACTGATGACACATTCATCGCAAATGCATTTGCCATTCTTCGCATCCAGGTATGGATGATATTCACCCTCTTATAAATAAGTCATGCGTTTATATAATGTCAAGAATACTTTGGTCAATTTTTAATAAATTGACACCAACCTCTTTCCACATATTTGAAAAACTTGTATTATTTGTCCTGTACCAAAATCAAGGGACAGTTCCAACATCAATAATTATAAACTAGTAAGTATTCAAAATGTCATTTTGAAGAACTTAGAAGCAACAAAAAACTCTCCGTCATGTATTAAAATATTATCATTCCGGAACAGCATGGCTTTATCGAAGGTCATTCAATTACCAGCAACTTGATGTGATCTATTCTGACTTTTGGAAAGTATTTGACTCGGTAAATCACTCTGTATTCTTATCAAAATTGCGTGTTTATGGTACATCCGGTAATCTGTTATCGTAGCTGCATGGATTTATCTCTGGTAGGTCAGAAATTGTCAGATTTAATAACGCTTTTTCCAATACTATAATACTATCGCAAAGATCACATCTTGAACCACTGTTATTCACATTATTCATTAATGACATTAATCAATGTTTCTGGTATTCCAAATTTTTGCTGAGGAATTAGAAATATTTCACGCCATTGACGGTCCATACAGTTCACGATATACTCAAGATGATTTGCCTAATCTGGAAGGGTAGTGTATAAATAATAGGTTGACTTTAAATTTATCCAAATGTTCTGTCATTTGCTTCTTTCATGAAAATTATATCTCAAAGTTTGAATATGAAATTAACCACACCATATTACATTCTGTTACTGATATCCTAGATTTTAGAGTCACTTTTTCAGATAATCGTTCGAAAAACACATTATTGATATCACTAGTGTCGCATTTAAGACTTTGGACTTTCTAAGTAGAACTTCTAGATACTTTAAGAATGCCAAGTTGAGTTCTGCTCAACTATTTGATCACTCTATCATCTTTGTTTTTATAATGTTAGAAAGTGACATCGTTTCCTCCGTATAGCTGTCTATCGAATTGATCGCCAATGTCACTATATGAACATAATTATATCGACATGTACAAGTATTTCAGAATTTTGCCTTTAGAATATAGACAACTATCATAATATAGACAATATGCTTGACTTCGTGCTAGCTTTCAAAATTATAAACGGTATTATAATTTGTCTTGAGATTTTGCAACTTTTTAAATTAAATGTACTTTCTCTATGTATAAGAAAGCGTACTCTCCTTAAGTGAAAAACTCATCGAATACTTTACGGCGAGTACAATTGCGTTAATAGTCTAATTATTAATGTAAACAAATACTGTGAAATGGTTGATATTTTTAGTTCTCTATCTACTAAAGACTTTGTAAAACCTCACCTAATGTTTTATTCTATTTGTATCAAAGGGTAATTTCCTTACCCGTTAATAAATATATAATAATAATAAAAACTAGTTTGTTCTACGAAAACAATTGATGAACCGACAATTATTTGTTTACAGTGTAAATAAGATCTGCATGTTCAAAATAAACGAGAAATTTCGATGTGACATTGGAAGTCAATATTTCTTGAACAAAAAGTTAGCAAGTTACTTTTTGTTTTGGGATTCTAAATTCGTGATTTAAGTTTAATCATTTAAATATTAAATATTGAATTTTTAATTTTGGTTTTCGAGTTGTTTATTTTTGAAAAGAAAAGATTAAAAACTTTAGAATATCTTCTATTTAAGAGGCACAAATTTTCTCGTTTTCACAGTGGAAAATTATAGATCTTTTACAAAATGCTTGATTTTTCATAATTTTCTGAATTGACAATACTCTTGGTCCCTTTCTTTATTTTTTCTTTTACTCTAGAATATTTTGGCACTTGAAATGAAATGGCTGTACAAAAAGCCATTGTTATCTCAGAAGGACAATAATTAAAAATTTGATGAAAATTAAGAATAAAGATTTTGTTCTATTCGATTATTCAAATTTCATGAAACACTGAACGAAATGCACTGTTGTTTCGTCCTTAAAATACAACAGTTTTTCTTTGTTACTCAAAAACCCTAGTGACATTGCAATTCCTTTTCATCGATCCACACATCTCAAGATAGCAATCTAACCATATTATATTTTGCAAACGTAAAACTGTGTACGCGCAACTGAAAAATTTTTTGAGAGTACGTATTTGATACTGTTCGCCAGTAGATTACGATTTACTGAGCTGGTATCGACGGTATCGATGCGGTATCATTCCCATCGCTAGTTCTCACTTGCTTAAAACTCGCGCAGCGTTTCCGTCGACCTCGCAACAAAAGAGCCTACAATTATCTGTAGCGTCACGGGTGAGAATTGCTGACATTCTTCGCGGTTCGCACAATTTCCACCCTCGGTCTAAAGCGTACGAACGATTCCAAAGGATACGCATAACGCGAGATTCGTGAGACTCGAATGCGTCGCGTATCGGCGAAATCGGTGCCGCGCAATGGACGAGTGAAGGTGTCTGTCGGCCTTGAGTCGTCCGTCGACCGTCCACCACGTGACACGTCGGTAATCTCAAAATTCAGAGCACGTTTCGTTTTCACCGTCGTCACGGGCCGGAAAATTCAAAGCTCTTCACTCACCGTTCGCTCGAGCTGCGACGAGGATAAATATCCAGCACAGAACCAGTTTCCAGAATCCGGTCTCCATGTCCACTGGCGGTCGTCGTGATCGCGCACACGGGGGTTGAAATCGAGAAAAAGGGAAGAGAAAAGGGACGATAGAGGGAGGGAGAAGGGAGGAAGAAGGAGAAGGAACGGAATTTTCGCTATTAACCCCAGAAAAGTCTCATTTAGTCGGATTCCCGGCGCTCCGAGTACGAGTTTTCTCACCGTCCTTGCGCGTCCACGGCTGAGATCTGCGTTCGACACGTCGCACGACACAACAAAAGTAACGAGACAAACGAGTCGCACAAGAGCACGCGAGGCCAGCCGGAGATGTTCCCCGTGCGAGAACGCGAGAGACACTGACGGGCCCCGGCGACTGGCGGGAGAGTTCGAACCGCGCGCACGCACCGGACCCACGGGGCCGGACGTCGACGTCGAACGGGGCAATATCTTCTTAACGGCGCCGTGCACGACGTACGGTTGCTTAGAAAACGATCATTCCTGTCCAAAATCGAATTTTTCAACGTTTACTTAACATATAGGGTATTCCGCATTTTTCCGTACACACTTCAGCAGTGTGTTCTACAAGCAAAAATAAGACTAAAGTGTTATATAACAACAAATTCATAAATGCTTTGTTAAGAAGTTATGACAAAAATATGAAATGTGATGTTTTTTTATTTACTAAACAAACAAATTTATTAAAATTCTGTTTAAAGAGAACAACTGCTAGTTGACACACGGAAAAATATTTTTAACGTAGAATTATGTGGATAACTTAAACATTTCTTTATCCGAGTTTAGTTTCTATGAGTTATCTTAGGTGCTGAAGTAATCTTTCTTCGATGATAGCTTTTTGTTGTCATAAAATTTTGAACTATTGTTCAAGTCTATGTCCAGTAAATTACAAAGAAACTTACGATATCGAATGTTTGCAAAAGATTGATTTTATTTTATTATAAATTTTTTTTCTTATTTTAATGTCCTGAATAACAACCGAATTTCACAGTTCATATTTTTGTTATAACTTCTTAACAAAGCATTTATGGATGTTTTGTTATACAATAACATTTTAGTCTTAGTTTTGCTTATGAAACACTGCGGAAATGTGTATGCAAAAATGCGGAACACGCTGTATACGTGACCGTGAATGCTGTGTTAAAATTTTTTTGTGAGACCGACGATTTTGGTAATAGGGTCAGTTGTCCTAATATGGAATAATTTTTACATATGTTTCACTTGCTCGCAGAACTTTTATAAAAACTTAAATATTATGAATCTATAAGAAATTGTATACTCTCTTTACTGGTAACAATCAAATTAAAAATATAATAACGGTTTAGGAAACGTTTACTTTTTTGACGGAGGTCGTCATTTTCGTAATATGAAATACTATACAGGGTGTTCGGCCACCCCTGGAAAAAATTTAAATGGAAGATTCTAGAGGCCAAAATAAGACGAAAATCAAGGATACTAATTTGTTGATTGAGGTTTCGTTAAAAAGTCATTAAAAAACTAAACGAAAATATTTCAAATTATTTTGAAAAAATTATTTTTAGTTGCGAACGTCAATTACAATCGTTTTTTATGAATTCACATACCCCGGGATCCTACCTACTTTCAAGAAAAAAATTCGAGTAGGTGCTGAAATTTTTCTAATCGTTCTAAAAAATTTGTTTCCGGCTGCAAGGATCGATTACAATCATTTTTGGTCATTACATATACTCCCGAAATCCTACTCACTTCCGAGAAAAAAATTCCTTAGCGAAAATTTGATGTGAAGAAATGCTTCCCTGCATGTGAATCTTCAAAACATCATAACTTCTGAACGGATTGGACAATTTTAATGTTTCGAAAGTCAAACGACGCGTATTTTAGTGTAGAATATGTAGAAATTCTAACAATATTGAAAAAGTTGTTCCTTGACTCCGTAAAGTTAGAAAACCTCCATAAAAATGGTCCAATTTTCAAACGGCCATAATTCCTACAATAGTGAATATATCTTCATGAAAACTTTTTCGGAAGTAGTACTCATGGGAACCTATAAAAAAGTATTAGACAAAATTACTAAAAATCAAAAACGAATTTTTAAGAAAAATCGACAGGGTGCCTAAATTTTTTGGTGAAAAAAAATCTCGAATCGTTCTGAAAAAATTATTTTCTGTTGCAGGGATCAATTACAATTATTTTTGGTGAACAGATACCACCTCCAATATCCTACCCATTTTCTAGAGATAATTCGAGAAGGTGAGAAATTGTTCAACAAAATTAAAAAATTTCAAATCGTTCTGGAAAAATTATTTTCAATTGCGGGGGTTAATTACAATCGTTTTCGGTGAATAAACATACCCACGAAATCTTGCACATTTTCGAGAAAAAAATTCAGTGCGGGCAGAACTTTAAACGTTAATAACTTTTTAACGAAGCCTCCATTATCAAATTGGTATTCTTAATTTTCGTCTTATTTTGACCTCTAGTATCCCTCATTAAAATTTTTCCCAGGCGTGGCCAAACACCCTGTATATCGAATTTAATAGAATTGGATCATTTTTGGAAGGTTCAACTTTAAAATTTAATTTTAATATTTATAGATTGTGTAATGGGCAAATGAATCTATCTGAATATATTACAAAATAATTTAAAGCAAAGTGTCGAAAAAGTGGAACTTTAAAATAATTTTACATTTTATTCCGATAACTTGCAATATAATTTTTACGTGGTTTAAAGTTGGCTATCGAATAACTGCTCTAAAGTTCTTTAAACACCTCCCCAATTATCCAACATTAATGTAATAGGGCATCTGCGACTACATAATAAGATTACATAATATTACGAATAAAGAAGCTCTCAGAAACACTTTAAAAAAATCTAATCAAATGCATGCCTCAACAACTACAATATATTAAAAATACACGTGGATACCCTACAAAATATTAACATAAGCTATACGTATTAAATATAAACGAAAATAAGTACTGTACGATTTTTACTGACAAGCTGGTATTTGTAGTGACAATTTGTATTTGTTATACTAACAGTTACTGAAAATTTCATTCTACGTTTGTAATATATTAAACAAAAAAGCATTGAACTATATACTTGTATCTGTATTTTAGCCATGTACTGTAAATTTTTCGATTTATAACTGAAAATCGACTGAATCGCTAGGTGTACGATTTTAAGTGACCGTACAATTATTTTAACACATGGATTGTTGCATCGTCCACATATAGGTGACATGACATTTCATTAAACAACTAAAAAAATTCAGTCTCAAGATTAGATGTTAAGGAAAATAAATCTAGATAGAATTTTTGAATTTTAACGTGGCTATAAAAATAAATTCTGTGACAACTTGTAGCTCTGTTAGTTTCCAATTGTTTAAAAACAAAGTTTCGTTTTCGTGGACGATTTGAGGGCTTTGGTCTGACAGTTAACGTATTAAAAAGCATACAATAAACCTATAGCAAAAATTTTAATGAGTGATAGTAGAGGCCAAAATAAGACGAAAATCAAGAATACTAATTTGTTGATGGAGGCTTCGTTGCAAAGTTATTAACATTTAAAGTTCCGCCTGTAGAATGACAATCCGCTAAACAGCTGCGTTCGCGCGGACGGTTGCGGCAGGCGAGTGCTAGTGGTTCTCACGCAGCATGAAAAATTCTGCTTACCGACATTATCGACAGCCTTAGATTTTTGTCTACTTATGGGAATGCGAACACCTTACGTTGAATAAGATTCAACCTGTCTTATGAAAATCCAGAAGGGCATGTAGCGGCCATTGTATAGCCACTACGCCCTTGCCAGAGTATGAATGGGAATGGAATATAAGGATAATTTTAAGCTTTCTATTTTTCCATTTTCCCAGGGTCTCGTGCGAGCCTGGTCGTCCTGTTAAACACTTGGCGACCAGAGCCGTGCGAGGCGTCTGTTTTCCCTCAAGGTTTCGCCTGGGCCTCGGACCACCCTGATCCGGGCCCGGCGAGCCTCTTGACTTTTATGACTCGCTTTCGCTAAACTTTTCCTATACTGAGTATTTTCCAGTTTCGTTTTTCCGTCTTTCTGTCCTGTCTCTTTTTCTCTACCTTTGCTATTAGGGTATGTTGGTTATTTAAACGCAGTTAAAGGAATATTTATTAAAAGCTCGATATAATATACGCCATAAATACATAACAGATCGTCGGAAAAGTGACATGTAACACACACGGTTGAATAAACAGTAGTTACCAACAGTAACAAGAACAGATGAGGATAATGCCTATATGGGTACAAGTAGGCGCCGAAAGACACGTTCTTAAAATGTCCGTGCATCGTCGTGTGAACACACCCAATTGCTCACAGGGTAAGAAATTGTATATATTCAGGGGACGTGAGAAGAAAGACCCCCAGTCTATTTTAGACCTCAGTCTGGCTAAGACGTCGCGCGTTTGCGAAGCCAGTTATAGTGTCGATTTTACCTACGTGTGGCTACACCCCCGACACCCGCGAAATAAACTCTTTAATAATTGTTGGGGTAGATTGAGGTTTGTCACTTGAACCTCCAGCCCCCTCAGGCATATCAAAACTCGCCCGACGAGATTTTCACAGAGAAAGGGTGAATGCCAGTTCCAATACACAATGTTGTGAACAAAAATCACCCACATGCGATTATACACGCCCCACGATTGCCCACAGTGTCCACAAGTATCCACAAATAATCCTTTCAGGCACTAACCACTATGCAATTAAATAAACACGTACCGCGATTATGTTATTCGTGAATGTCTACGTGTACGTGTATCACGATTCTTCCGAGTTACTTACGAATAAAACTGTTATTAATTGGAATTTCTTTTCGTTTGGGAAGAAGTAACTGAAATAGGATTAATAATGTTCGAAAATAGAAAAAATACTGTCACCTGGAAAGCAATAAAGCAATAAAAATAAAAACAAGAAATCTCGCGTCCGGTTTTTGACGTATGTCTAATGAAACTGAAAATTCTTGTTACCGGTCCTCAATGCGTCCGTAAACTATCAACTCTCTAAAGCTTCGAAATCTACACATATTTCATTTTATAAATAATTTTTTTATACATACAGTATTAAGATAAAATGATTATACTCTAAATGAAACTAATCATAATATATTAAAATATAGATTTTGTATTATATTTTTATATAGGTAAATATATTTCAATTATTATCAATTATTATGTTCATACTACTTCAGAATTTATATAATATTTTACTTTTGGCAGTATATAATATTATAGTATAATATAATATAACATATACATACTCTATATAGAGTATTCGTATTTTGACTAAAAAGTCAAATACGGAATTTACAAGCCCATTATTTATTTT